CTCTACAAGCTAGCCATTGACCAAGACCTGGACACTATTGCAGTTCAGAAAACCAAAGTGGAGAGCATGGACACCACCGAGAGCCTACCGCAACGTTTCACCGGACGCTACACCGCCAGCGTCAGTCATGCAGTTGGTAGGTCGGCAGGGTGTGTTATCTTTGTGCGGGATAGTTAAGGTGCCACTGTTCAAAATATCCTGTCTTATACTTCCGGAAGGTTTGTTGTTTGTGATTTGGCATTCTTTTCTCTTAATTGGCGAATGATTTGTTTATATGAACCTCTTAAAGTTGATGAACGGTGTGCAACATTCGACGAAATTCGTACTTATTGTGAATGCGATCGCATAAGTCTTCCTTATGGGAGATTTTAATTGTGTGATCAATGCCGATGATAAAACAAGTACATCCAATTTCAACTACTCAAGCACAGTCGCGTTAACGAATCTAATTTCTGACTTTGACCTTGAGGATGTTGCAGAGTGTATTGGTAAAGGACCATTACTGTATGCGCATTTCCAAGGCTCCAGTCATGCGCGCCTAGATAGGGCCTACGTGTCACTGGATTTAGTTTTGATTATCAGTGAGTACAATGTCCTCCCTGTTTTATTTAGTGATCATTGCTTAGTATCATTAGTAATAGGTAAAAGAAATAGACGTAGACCAGTATTTAACTGGGACGCAGGAAGCTAAATTCTAATCTCTTGGAAGATGAAATATTTATGGACAGTGTTCGAGAGGCGTTGGAAAACATGGACAGTGGAGGTCAAAAATATGGAGTGAAGTGGGAACAATTTAAACAGAATATAAAGTTGAAAGCTATAGAACGCTCATGTGTAATAAAACACGGAAACAGTGAAAAAGAAAGAACCCTGCGCTCAAATCTGAATGAACTGCTAGCAGAGGAAAGCAAAACGCCAGGCTTATTCACAAATGATATAAGGTCAGTAAAGTCCAAATTAGAACAAATTGATGAGGAGAAGTATCGTGGCGCGCAAATAAGGGCAAGGACAGAGAAAATGACCGTAGGAGAGAAGCCGACCAAAAGAATGCTTGGTCTCGAAAAACGAAACGCTCAGCGGAATGTTATACATCAGATTGGATACATGGGTAACGTTACAAGTGAACAGAGATATATAGAGGATGCTTTCAACGAGTACTACACCACTTTATTTGATAAATGTAAATGTAGATGAATTCAAGAATGAATTTTTAAAATTAATGCCAAAGGTTGAGGACTGCAGGAAAGACAGCTTAGAATGTCCTATTTCTGAACCGGAAGTGACAAAAGCAATCATTGCCTTCCATTTGGGAAAGTCCCCAGGACCTGACAGGTTAACAGCCGCGTTTTATAAGGGATTCAAACACGAACTAGCACCGATCCTGGCAGCGGTTTTTAACGAAGCCTTAAACATAAAGATTCTGCCACCTTCTTTTCTGCTATCTCATACTATATTAATTCCAAAAACTGAGGACGCAGTTAAATTACGTGAAGTGAAATCGTACAGGCCAATCAGTCTGTCAAATATCGACTAGAATATTTTGATGAAAGTGTTAGCAAGGAGACTGCAGACAGTTAATAATAACATTGTAGGCGACCACCAGACATGTGGAATTAAAAGGTACACTATATTCACAAACATTCACAGGGCACGAAGTGTATTGCTGCGATGCCACAAACGATCACATCGCGATGATCCAGATAGATTTAGAAAAAGCATTTGACCGAGTACCGCACGAAATTCTTTTTCTTTTGTTAGACTATGTCAATGTTGGCAAAGTAATTCGAGATACAGTTCGAATGGCATATACTGGATGTAAAACTCGGCTAATCATCAACAAAGTTCTTGGGAAACGAATTAATGTCAGACATTCCGTACGACAAGGCTGCCCTTTGTCTTCCCTCCTATTTTTAATTTATATAGAGTCATTTTGCCAAAAAGTCATGAAAAGCAGTAACATAGTGGGGTACAAACTACAAGAAGCTGAAGTACGGGTACTGGCATACGCAGATGATATAGCTGTGTTTTGTAAAGATTATGATAGTATCGCTGAAACCATAAAAATTATAAATCTTTATTGTAATGCAAGTGGTAGTTTGGTAAACTGGAGCAAGTGCCTGGGTTACTGACACGGCGAATGGCCTGTGACTCCACAATTTGTGGCTGGTATTTCATAGACTACTACTCCGGTACGATACCTAGGTGTGCCATTAGAATATTAATGTGACAGTGAACCGTACTGGCGGCGTCAGGCCGTGGAGCTACGAGAAAAAGCTGAACAACTCAATGGTTTCCAGCTATCAATTTTCGCCAGAGCGACCTTTTGTAACGTATTTTCAGTCAGTAAGCTCTGGTGTGTCCTTCAGGTATTGCATTGTTCACGTGTGAATCTACAGAACCTTCATCGAATATTTGCTGTTTTATTGTGGGGTTCTTCTTGGGAGCGAACAAGTAGAACTAGCTTATACAGACAGGTTCGCTCTGGAGGACTTGGTCTGTGTCATTTGTATCTTCGTCAGTTAGTTAATCGGTTTATAATTTTCCGTAATAATCGAGACCCATTCATACTGACTGTTATACAGCTTAGGCTTGGAAGACGGTTGCCAGAATTTGTGGTAGCATCTGTTCACATGAAAGCAAGCATTAGAGGTTTCCTAAATAAAGTGGTTGATTCATGTCTCTTTCTAAAAACGAGTTTTTCATTGAAATACCTCAGTATGGTTTCGCGTAAAAAGTTATACAACAATTTAGTAGAAACAGTTTTTTCTGTTCCTCTATATAGAACATTATACCGTGTAGGCCCAGGCCAAAATTTCTTAAGCCGTGTAAAAAAATGGAAGTATCACCTGGAGCGAAATCCTTTTTCCTTAAATTGCACACTGGGACCTTGCCCGTGAAAACATGGATGCAAGAAAAAGGCTTATTTGTTCCTTGGGGTATTGATTGCCTTCTCTGCAAAAAGCTGGAAACAATCGAACATGTTTTCCTCAACTGCTGGGATGCAGTCTTTTTCTGGGATGTTCTCCAAAGGACATTGAAAAAGGATCTGCCTCTCGATGCCTATGGCATCAGATTTCTACCAATATCAAATGAAGAAAGAATACCTTTCGACCTAGTTATGTTACTGGGCCTGCACGATATATGGCAATCTAGAATGGCGGTGCGCCATGCTGATGTTAATGCACGTCCGGTTAGGCAATACTTCTTTCAATCTGTCTGTTCGTTTGTGGAATCACAAAAGGTTCAACAAGAGGTGCCCGAATGGCTTCATCAAGTAGAAAGCCTTCTACAGATGAAGGAAATTGAAAAAGCCTGTTAAATATGACGCTTTTTACCTCTTTTCTTTGTTTCATGTTTCTACTTTGTTTGATGTATATATGTTTGCGAATGTTGTATGTACACAGGCAATGAAGAAAAAAAAAGTTGGCGTGGCGCAGTGGTTAGTGTGCGCAGTTGAAAATTCGGAGGTGCCAGGTTTGATTTCGCGCTGGCGCACCTTTTTTTTTTTACGGGTGCTTGCTAAATCTTTCTTTATACAATTATTTTTATTATTTCTTAAGAGGGAGCTCGTCAAGGTGGTTCTGACGCTGCTTCGCGCTCCAGCATTGCCGGCTGGAGCGCGCCATCCACCATTTGCTCCACCATACGCCACCATACACCATGTGCCACCATTTCCACCGCCATACTCCATCAAAATGGTGGATGGCGAAATCTACCATTCCTATGGTGGACGTTTTTTCAATAGGATCGTCTGCTTGCTGCCTATCAGAGCACCAATTATAAATTAAATATGCGACTGCAAGATTTTTCACTGTCGTTATCGCAACTTACCGTATACACACTACGTATTTATGGCCGTTTCTGCCCAAGTAAAATTTTGTTGCGGTTGTCCTTTAATGGCCTCTGAACCACCTACGATATTTCTGCGACAATTCCAAGTAAACACGCATGTCGTGTGCAGAATGCCACCACGATCAATGATACCACACGTAGAAGTGCTACAAGATGCGGGTGCATCATGAATTCCAAGAAACTCCTTCTCCTCTCTGGGATTTTTTGGCCTCCCCAGTCATGTGTGTGAGATTGACAAGTTGAATCTGTGAATGAATCTGGAAGCGATAATGCGATTGATCAAACTCAATCCTACGCCGTCTGGTTCATCTGCAAACAGTCGCCCATGATCCTTGCTGTTGGTCATGCTGCCCGCGTGTTTGTACTTGTGATCGCCAACTGCAGCATGAAACGTAATTACCAAATTACTACTAGCATAGGAACACAGTCACGCTTAGTGGCTTGTATTAATACTGATTGTTGGCCTAGTTGGTACTTGCTTACTGACATGCTTTGGCTGCAAATAACACACAGACAAAGAAACACTCAACGACAAGCACAAGCGGCACTTCCAACTAGTTGGAAATGCCGCTTGTGCTTGTCGTTTAGTGTTTCTTTACTGTGTGTGCATGTCATTTGCATCCAAACCATGTCAGTGGCCTAGTAAGCTGCATGAACTGAATCTAAAGAGTGTGCCAACCCACACCATTGCCACTATCTTGGGAAGGCATAGAAGACTGCTCCTCATCTCGAGCGAGTGTGCTTTGGCACAGCGTGCCACTGTATGGCTCCATCATGTTGCCAATCTTGTGAAGGCACACGCCCAATGCAACGCAGGGTCCATACTGGCCCAACTCTTGAGAGCACAGGCCGGCACCACTACAACCGTTTCCAGGGAAAAAAATGTTCAGGAAGTCACGGCAACTAGAAGTGCACGCCATTTTCAAGAGCCCGTCAGCGATTATGGTATGTCACGTTACCTTGGGAAGAGCACTTGACGAGCGAAACGGTTTTGATTGATGAGCCCTGCCAACAAGCACAGGGTAGCGAAGGAACGAACGATCACCATGTTTAAATAACTGAACAAGTGCCACCCTGCAACTACGGCACAGTTTCAAAAACTCTCACAGCTACTTCTTCATTGTACATTCGTCCACAACTTCCACACCACAACTAAGTTTCAAACTCTGGCTAGTTTAGGGCCCTTTGAAGTAGAGCGTCTGATGCTATAATGATACGACTACGTTGCCATATTTTTCAACGTAAATACAAAACACAAAAAAACCTAAAGTCACAGTTTAAATTGCCCTAATTAAAACTCTCGATTGTCTCAAAAAATTTTAAAAGCATTTAATTTAAAAAGGTGGCTGTACATTGCCATATTCTTCAACACAAACACAAAAATATGAAAATACAGTTTAAATTTCTTTGACTAAAAGTCTTGTCTCAAAACTTTTAAAAAAATTATTTTGAAAAGGTGGCTGTAAAGTAAAAAAATTAACATCTACAAATGCTTATTTTGCCTTCTGTCACCGCTTCTAGTGAGCAGCTGATAACCTTCGGAGCTTTTCCAAGGGGTCCTCACCCCTCTCACGCTTAGATTTCACGATCCTCTTAATTTCATCGAATTGGTGATACAGCGTCAAGTTGCGATACTTGTCACTTAACTGAGTGCTTGTCCTCCCGAGGAAGCCACCTTCTGTCGCTATGCGCAACCAGTTCCCTTTACCAAACTTCATAACTCCAGCCACGAGTGCCTGCTCTTCCAGTGACGTGAAGGGTACTCTTCGCTGCTTCTTTTTATACTTCACTGGGACAACTTCCTGCGACACATCCGTCTTGGAACTTGAATTGGGTCTGCTTTGTGGAGATGAATGTGCGTGCGATGTAGACTGCCTGCAAGGGCTGCTGCACACTGTCTTTGGCAAGGCGACTGCTCCTCCAGTTCTGGCTTGCTTTTGTGATAGCTCTGCAAAGGCATCATCAGATGATGTAGTTGAGCTGTCCTCATCGGGAGGGCCGCATAGTGGCAAAGTTCCTCGTAACTCCTTCGGCTGGCTCATAGAACTCTGCTTGCCATGCAGCAGCTCGTCTGCCACTGGTGAGGTTGCTCGCCGCAGCCGCTGCTGATCAACCACCGCACGCAGTTCCTTCAGAGGATTCACACCAGCACTAAGCATATCTCGCACACGTCGCTTGACTTTTGGAAGATGGCCATACTTTTCCAAGTTTCTGTACTTATCACTGAGCTCTGATGAACGGCGCCCATCGAACCAGCTGTGTTCACTGATTTTCTTCCAGCTTCCTCTGCCATACTTCATAACTCCATATACGAGTGCTTCTTCTTGCAGTGCTGTAAACCGCATCCTTTTCCTCTTTGGAGGATGCAACATGACAGGGCTGACCGAATGGACAATGCGCCTTTCAGTGCCTTGCGGAGAATGCTGCAAATGCACACTTCTAGTGTCAGACACACGGCGTCGCTTTTGCGAACTCTTATCAGGATTTGTAGCGGCCGATGGCAAGTGCTTATTTTTTGGCTGGTCCGCTAATTTCTCCTGCACCGGATTTTCAATTCCAACACCTAGGCGCTTGCTATGTGTTCCCTCACATGACTCTTTCGGCCAAGGTGGCAACAATTGCATACTTTGACTTAGCTCAGGCTTTAACAGGGATGGCGAAACTTCATCATGGTCAGACCAACTAGAGTAGTTTTGGCAAGAACTTTTTTGATGCACAGTATACCAACTAGAGTAGTTTTGGCAAGAACTTTTTTGATGCACAGGTACACCAGTATTTGATGCAGCGCTTTTGATATCATCATTGTTTTGCTCGCTACACGATTGGAGTGAATTTTGTTCCTCGAATTGCTCGTGCAGTGACTTTGCTGCATCCAAGGGACTGGTTTGGTTGGCTTGCTGCGACAACATAAGGAATGGAACCACGTGAAACAAGATCTCATGTGTGTCCGTTCTAGGAAAACCTGGCAGACTCAACTCTGAAGCAGCTTGATTAATGACAGTGACCATATCGATGCTGTGATGCTTGCCCTTCTTTTTTAACTTTGAGACCAACTGTTTGTCTGAGACACTCTTGCACAGCTGCATGACATGCTCTGGAACAACACCAGCATCAGATTTGCCATCCTCTTTGTTCCTCCTGAAATGGCACACAACAGAAGTAAAGAGTGGGGTTATATTAAAGGCATTCACACAATACACAACACAAAAGCACTTTTAAATACAAAGCATTTCTTAGCTAACTTTGGCGACTTTGAGCGTATCTATCTATCTGTCTATCTATCTATCTATCTATCTATCTATCTATCTATCTGTCTATCTGTCTATCTGTCTATCTATCTATCTATCTATCTATCTATCTATCTATCTATCTATCTATCTATCTATCTATCTATCTATCTAACCGCTTACGACTTGTAGCTATCCTGGCTTTTTCGATAATGGTATCGATACCAAAATTGATATGGCATAACATGGCTGTATGACGAGCATAAGTGACTAGTCATAACATGAAAATCATGACATGTATGTGATTAATGTCATGATTTACATTTCATAGAGTTGCTCCTCTTGTAGTGGTTTCGTTTACATGACATATAGCAAAACTGGTAAGGTATGACATGACTGCATGGCGAACACAAGTGACAGACTCTAACATGGAAATCATGAGATACATGTCATGTAAGTCGTGACTACACGCCACGCTCACGGTGCGCTTGCGGACGTTTCACTAGCTTCACATATACCAAATCTGGTATTAGGGGACATGAATGGATGACGAAGGAACATGATAATCGTGACATGCGTGTCATGTAAAACATCACAACATGCTACGCTGATAGCGTGCTTGCAGCCGTTTCACAAGCTCAACATATACCAAGTTCGGTATTACGTGACGTGAATAGACAACGAAGGTAAATGACACGTCTAAACATGATAATCATGGCATTGAAATCATGTACGCCATAATTACGTCTGGCTCGTAACGTGTTTATTTTAAAGTGGTGCATCAACCTTCCTCATTGTGCTTCGCATATCATCGATTTTCACTGTACATGGAATCTGCCACTTTATTTTGTTCTGCTTCTACAAAACCTGACGATTCTGTCATTGATAAACTCTTACTCTACCAAATACAAGCTCAGTTCATCCACACTGTTTACACCAACCCACTTAAAAAGAGCTGGGCTCATTCACACTGAAAAAATGTTTTCGCAGTGTGTCACAGTCAAACTACCTTCAACAATTTTGCCCAGTTCACGAGTTCCTACAGATGACGCAGTAGAAATTCGAGAAACACACTAACAGCATGCAGTTCGGCTGAGAAATGATTTTATTCTAGCAACTTGAATTTAAAACTGGCGCTCACGTACTGGCAAAGAGCGTGCTCTGAAAAATAACGCTTTTTACTAGAGTTGTGCGAATAATAAAACTTTGAATGTGGAGCAAACAATTTTCTAAAATTTATTAAATAGTTTGAACCGAAATGACAGAATAGTTGCAGAGGCCCCCAAGCATATTATAAAGCAAAATATATAGCTCTGCAATGGCACAACTGGGCACTGCCATTTTGGGCTCATCAAAAAAAGTCTTTGGGGTACTAGGGAGCAAGCTCTCTAGTGAACCAAAATTGGCGTTGTCTTGGGATACAAACCATGCTGTTCGTCCCTCATAACGCTGTGACAAAACATTCAGAAGGGGGGGGGGGGGGAGAGAACAGAGCATGTAGGCTATACTGTTCTCACACTCTATGCAGCAGAATCTTTAAACTTCCACGTAATCCACGCGGTGGCGCGACCTCAAATTAACGCTCTGTTACCAACTTTGAAATGACTCATAATACCTATTGAACTTATTTTGACATGATCTCTTGGCCTTAATTTGGCGTGACCAGTCATATCACTATGTCTCAATATTTATTAGTTTATAACTGCTCGCAACACATGTATTTTTGTGGTAATTGCATTCACTTGATGAGTAATCTACTTCAGCACGCTTCAGTACCGTAGTATTTTGATGATATGACTACAGTTGGTGCCAATTTCTCAAATATAAGAATATTAAAGGGGCGGGCACACAAAGTTTGGCCTTGCATTTTTTGCTGCAATGTGTTCCTGGGGGCCTGTTCGTCCTAACATGACACATTTTTTTCTGCAGCGTGTGGCAGATAATTAATTACAGGCTCATTATTACCAACCAGTGTCAGTTTCTGTTTGAAAAACGACAAGCCACCGGGTGCAACTATCATTACCTCACCAGTGCAACGCTCGGCAATGTCAGCACACAAAAATGCGACTCGCTTCCCCATGCATCACATCAAGAAGTTGTTTTCGAACAGGAAACAGGACAGCAATGTCATCAAACGTAACTCTCAACTCATGAGCAATGGCCATAGACTTGCAAGCAGCTGTGAGGTAATACCTGCTTATAACAAACCTCCATATAACGAATTCTTCAATATAATGAAGTTTTTCTATTCCCTGCCATTACTCCATAGAAGCACATGTATTTGCGACCTCTATGTAATAAAGTAACATAGGGAGGCAACTTTTATATAGCGAATCTAGAAATTTCACCCCGGACTGCCGTTTTGGCATGACCATGCATATCTTTGTGGTTGCCCTGCCGCCGCCGAAGTTCGAGCGGTGGAGGCGGCGTGCCTGCAACCCCGGCAACTCCAAGGCGCGCGTGTGTGCACAAGGCGGACAGACAGGCCTGGCCCCACGAGCCGGAGTTGCCATCGTTCTTGCTGCTGCGGACGCATGTGCGGATGTGCCCTCCTTCTCCAAACAAAAAAATGAAAACTACTTTTGCGTTGGCAGTGCCACGCTTTTAGTTAGTGTCACATATGTGGCGCCATACTGAATATGAAGGGCGATTTAAGGCCAAACTCTATAGACCTTTGCATCGGCCGAGGAGGTCCGGTCTGGCAACCAACGCATTCCTCCTCTCTGGCGTGCGGGGGATGACTTAAAGTGTGTGTATTAATGCTGGTATGTGTGGTGTTATCGAGCTATTTGCCGTGTATTGGGCCGAACTGTGGATTTTGTTTTTCTTCATTGCTATGATAGCCAAGAATTTGTAATCAGGGAACTACTGCGCTGTTTTTGGGTGCAGTAACAACTACAGAAAAAGAAAACTGCTGTTGGAAGGAACATGACATGTGCATCACCAGACGTGGAATTTTTTTGGCTGCGCATCGTTTTTGTTGTATCGTTTTCCTGTTGACAAGGAGCAGCGGCTTCTATGTCTTGCAAACATAAACAGGAAGAACATTGTACCTTCCACGGGTACTCACGAATGTTCAAAGCACTTCTTGTGAGGCGAACAAACTGCAACGACTTCGACACCGATGCTCAACCTCGGCTATAAACGGAAGATACGCAGCCTATACAGCTATTCCACTGATGACAATATTTCCCCGATAAACAGCCCCACTTAACATTTCTCTCTATCGCAGGTATTTCTACCATGGCACCTAGAGTCACACAAATATCACGATTTAAAAAAAAGAAGATAAAAATGGGACACACAAGCACGTCAGTGTCATTTGATGCAAGAGCTGTATTCAAGTGCACACCTGTAAAAACAAATGAGTGGGTAAGATACGGTCACTCCTTCAGAGTTAACAAAGAACTTAACAACAGTTAGTGTGCAATTAACAAGAACAGTCAGTGCCACGAAATAAAGACGAACCAATACACTCCTATGCACGGCTTCATGCATGGCGGTAGCGATGCGACGGCATTGGGTTGTATAGCCATGTGAGAGGAGTGAAAAGGTCTGTGTCTCGCTGCTAACCCTGATGATGGACTCCACTCGTGGCGACGACAGCCACATTCTGACAGGTGTGAAAATCAAGAACACGCTTTTGTTTGGATACAACAAACTCATTAACACATAATCATGTGATTTCGAGAAGGAATTAAGGCACCATATTTAGATTATAAGGTTGTGATGTGCATGAGTCATTTCTTTCGGGAATATCAAGGCTTCTTCTCCCCTGGAATAATTTGTACCGGAGAAATCTACGTATCTACGGACAGTACTTTCACAAGTGTATCAAGCCCCGCGCTCGAGTGCAGCGCCAAGTATCTCAACATATACTGGAAGGCGCTCGCCCTAGAATACCACTGCCGCTGTTGTGTGTTTTTCTTGCGTACTTGCTCACTCAATACCTTGTTTAGTTTTCGCAATAATTTTGAAGCTTTAATTGAGCGAAATCGTTCAAGTTAAGTGCGCTTGAGGTTATGTGTGGAAATTTCTATTGCAGTCAGATTCTGTCTTCTTGCAGAATAGTAGCAACAGTGCGATTGCGCTCTGAACTACCAGTTCAGGTAGCCACTTCATATGTTAAATTTCCTTGCAATTCACCTGTTGGTGGACATGACATGCGAGACCAATTGTCGCCTCATCGGGGCGAAGGTTGTTTAGTTATTACATAGGTACAGGTCTCTATAGGTTCAAACTTTTTTCGGGGTTGGGGGAGGGCACCTACTTGAAATAGTCATTTTTCTCTCTGCATGGGGAAAAATTTTGGGGAGTAGGGGACAGGCCCGGTGAGCCATCCCCTGGTTACGCCACTGCTTAGGCCACGTCCATGAGTGCACCACAGGAAGAGTTCATTTCGACTTTCTGACTGTGTTGAAATCGTTTCTATCAGCGGTGCTCCCACATGAAGCTCCCATTAGCGTTTGTGACGCCGTTGTAAAACACTCCAGCATTTCATGAAAATCATGGTATAGGACTACATAATCCCTGGTGACTGTTGAGAATAAACCTGTACATATGATCCAAATGAAGAGAAATATCTCTTATTTCCGAAATAGTATGTGTGCAGCAGTATTATTTTGCTTGTTCAACGAATATGTTACGCGAGTGCTTATGACAGTCATATTCATTTAATGTCTCCTGCTGGAGAAAGCGCACTTCTTTCAAATCATTTAGATCCTTCGCAGATGCAGGCGTAACTTGCACGGTAAAGCGCAATGTATTTGGTGAATTGAAAACGTCCCAATTTCATTTCTCACACTTTGACGCAGACATGTTCCCATCCCGGAGTCTATGCCTAGTTGTAATAACGTTAGTACCACTTAGCATATTTTCTTAGCACCCATTCTGCGGTGTACGTGTTAAAAA